CAGGACTTCGCGCCTTCGCCGCTCGCCCTACCGTCCGTGCAGGAAAAAAAGATAGCTGCTATTCATTTTCAAATTACATGCTTTGTCAAAGGTTAACAAGAACCCTGGACATGGTTCGCAAATAAAATATTTCAAGAAAATAAAATGTTTTCCATACCTACCTACCCTATTTTTTTCGGCATGTAATGGTAACCACACATATTTTGTTTTGGCTTAAAAATGCCTTTACCAATAGAACATTGCATGCATTAAGTTATAAATGCAAGGCAATCCCTTTACATGTGAAATAATACAGAACATGCGCACGAGAGACATAATACATTGGCTGCTTATATGATTTATCAGACAGCTTTGTCAGGTATTCTCGCAAGATAATTCTGAGAATCGTGTGATTTAGGCATTACTTAATTCGAATTTGTGAGTAAAAATTTGTAAAAATGAATAATTCCGTAAGATCAGGCTTTGGGACAATTAAGCCTCTCCATCGGCCCCTAGACTAGCTGTCACTAGGTCACTACTTACTTTGGCTGAGAGGGTCTATGTCCCCCGGGGTACTGCCGGAACGTACCCTGGGTACGGTCCGGTATACCGGAACGTACACTGGTACTATCTAATATGCCGGACCGTACCTCGCCTACTCCACTAACGAGTCTAGGGAGTCGCCTACGCCTACTCCCTAACCCCAACCCTAACCCTAATCCTAACCCTAAACCCCCAGGGTACTGCCGGAACGTACCCTGGTCACTATTTGATATGGACATAGACCCTATGAGCCTTACTTTGATCGGCGCTCCTCCAGACCCTGAGGACGTGTACGCTGGTAGCGGTCGCCCATCTTGGAACCAGTGAGCTTGCCGACGAGTGACATGACCTCTCCTGTCGCCTCATCCCTGCTGCGTCGCTCGATCAGCGAGCGGTCAGCTTGCAGCACAAGGTTGGAGTTCTGCAGCAACCATATTAAAATGAGAACTTCCATAAAAGGGCATGGTTACTAGTATTACTATTACCTTAAAAATACTATTTTTGTGGAATTCGCGCTGCTTTGATCAGTCCTATTTACACAGCGCTAGTACAACTACTACTACTCATAGAAATAGATAGATAACCTATCTATTTCTAGGTTATCTATCTATTTCTATGACTACTACTAGTAGTAGTACTATTATTACTATTACTATTAGTATTTGTACCCCCTAATCTAAAGCTAAAGACAAAGTTAGGCATTTGTCTTTTTAAATTGTATTTGTTATGCAGTTTAGTGGGACGGATCCGTTATAAAACCATAAATATTTCAACTTCATCTTGGCTAAACTGTTGATGAATTCATCATGATGCCAGTAGTATTGAGCTGAAACAAAATAACTTACCGCTTTGTATTCATACTGAAGTGATCTAGCAGCGGCGTCCGCCATCGCTGTAAGTGTAACTTCGTACAAAACACGCACACAAATACGCCTGCGATAGTGCCAATCTTAAAAAGCGATTACAGCGCCATTAATAATCAACGGCAGCGGAAGAAACTTATTATTCTACCCTTTTCTTCTATTCTTCCATTTCTTTGTTATTTATATATTTATTAATATTTAATTATATAATACATACAATTGCAATGTAATTCGATATATGTATATATAGAAGGATGGAAAACCCTCTCTATGAGTGCCATAGACTAGTCCAAAATGGTACTTCTACTAAATAACTAAAAGTGCCTCCAATAGAATATCAAATTAAATACCACTTATGTTATATACCACCTTTAATACACTTATATTTATATACAAAAACATCAACCATCTTGAAAACCACTCAAAAATAGTTTCCTACCATAACTGACAAATATTACAACAACTAATATATATGGTCACAACTCACTTAGGAAAAAGAGCTCTTCACTTAAAATGTAAAAAAATAATATAAAAATACAATATTAGCAACTAATATAGGAGACTAATGCTTATGATAATGATTCATACTATGTGTGGGGGTGTTGAAATATGTGTGGGGGTGTAATATGTTGAAATATGTGTGAAATATGTGTAAGTTGAAATATGTGTGTGTGTGTGTGTGTGTGTGTGTGTGTGTGTGTGTGTGTGTGTGTGTGTGTGTGTGTGTGTGTGTGTGTGTGTGTGTGTGTGTGTGTGTGTGTGTGTGTGGGTATGTGTGTATGGATGTGGGTTTGTATGAGAGTGACTCAGGCTCAGTGAGCGCGCGCGTGTGCGGGCGCATGTGTGTAGAAATCTTTTTTATATAGCATACCTTATTCACTTTAGTTGTAAAGAAAGCGTTTTCGTTATTGTATTATATTTTTTCTTTGTGTTGTATAGCGTTGCGTCCATCAGATTTTTCTCAATGAAAACGCGATTTTATTATATTGCATAAATAGGCACAATAAATCATTAATACATTAAATAATTACAGTTACAACATCACGCAAGTCTGGGCTCTTGATTTTGACGTGACTAATTTTTTATTTTTTGTTTATTATTTTGACTTTGTGTGTAGCCTGTTTGAGTGCCTCATAAACAAGCTAGACAGGTAGGCAGGCAGGCCGACCGACCTACCGACCGACAGACAGACAGACACAGACACAGACAGACAGAAAATAGACTGACGTGTGCGGTGACGGTGTACGCGCTTGAGCGGTATACGTTGAGGGCCCGGAGACAGTCTATAGGAATTTTTCTATTATAGATATACTAATAAGATAATATCACCTATATGTGGCAGTCTGGCAGAATACGGACATGCGTCAGCTTCCCCTTTCTAATTTATAATATTTGGAGTACATGTCCTTTCTGCTATTGGATCGATTTCAGAATTTCGACTCGACAATATGCGCAATATGTAGGCCTAGATCATATTTGCACAACCAGAATATGCGTGGACGTACGCAACATGCGGGAATATATCCAATAAGTCACAGTATAGTGAAACGGGACTGCTTCCTACCTCCAAATTTAAACATATTGAGATAGTGACTATTTAGAAAAACGAATGTAAACTGAGATATTAAAGATGGATAGGCAGGCGGGGCTGCAATATAGGCCTACATTCGCCCGACAACAGCTTTCAACATTTCACAATTTTCCTACCTTTCCCGATAGATTTTGCCAAATTGTCAATGAATATATATATATATGTGTGTGTGTGTGTGCGTGTGCGTGTGCGTGCGTGTGTGTGTGTGTGTGCGCGTGCGTGCGTGCGTGTGTGGACGTTTGGTGACCGTTTCCCCTTGAATATATATACTTAAAAACTAAAACCGTTCACTTTTATAATAGTTCACTGCGTCTTAAATAAATAATAACAAAAATGTGTCATATATAAGAAAGAGCCGAAATAACGAAAGGCACGCAAACATAATTTTTGAATATATTTTATTCAATATGCATAGACTCACATGTTCTTCAATCTGGAGCACAACATCATAAATGAATGTGTATGAATATCCGTGCTACGCATGATTATACATCCAGTTATTAATCAGTCGAAAAAATAGTAATCTTTATCAATCACAGTTCAAACCCATCTAATCTGTACCACTCTCTCACAGCAAATAACAAAACCAACGTGATACAAGGCCTTTTCTCTGCAAAGACTATCACTTCTGCCTGTAAAACGGGACATGTTTTCGACTACGGTGTGAAAGGGTTAAACGTATAACCCCGTCCATGAAAACACTAAAAATCTTCGCTACGTTCAATATAGGAAATCACGTGGGAGACGAATCAACAAACAAAAAATCAACAACGAAAGAATATTGATCTCGCATATTGCACATCAGTCTGGCGACGAGGCAAAACCGATCACTGATCAATGGAAAATCGTGAGATAATCTACATTTACATAAAACCTACCTCGGAGAAAGACGAATTATCGGCTACAGTGAGCAGTTACGCTATAACAATACTATACGTAATACTGAATAACATAATGACTTAAACGACGAAGCAAACACAAAAACCTAGTGCGCCCTTTTTGTCTTACAAAAACCATATCGGCACAAAGCATATACTTTTCTCCGCCTGCTAATAATAATAACAATAATAATAATAATACTTTCTATTTAATCGTACATAAAACTCTGATCGTTTGAAATCATTCGTACTATTACGCATACATCTGTCCTCTGTCACAATTACAGTCAGTGAAATTAATTAGCAATAACCTAGAAGGGTAATAATGCATTGTATGACATGTATGGTGTAATTTTCTTACGATACATCAATTCATTCTATCATATCTGATTACGTGGAAGCAGCCTGCTCCCATAACTAACAAATTCCAGTGACACTTGACTCTACAGACAACTGTTTCAACGGATACCTGATCACATTATCACCTGATTCAATGGACGCTTGATCTCACGAATATCCTATTCCATAGATAGCCGTTCCCAATAGATACCCGTTTCCATGGATACCTGATCCCATTTATACATTATTTCCATAAATTGTATTGTACCCTACCGAAAGAATATATCTAACGCTAACTCTCAGCTATCCCTTTCAAATGATACTTCTGTCAAATGATACTGCTAATGTCCTGTGCCCATCAAATGTACTATTCAATCAAATCCGCGTAGGAACAGAGAATGGATGCACGATGGCAGTTGCATTCGTTCATTAGCAGTGGAACTGTTCCAACTTTTCAGGTAGTCGTGTAACTAACGACCTCTATGGCAGTGGCCACTGAACATGACTAAGTATCCTTATAATAAAAACATTATTCCGAGGGTTCACCCACATTCTCCGTGTCTACACTGTCTAACTCCTCTCCCGCCCCATAGTGCAGATTCAGGCTACGAGAATCAACTAAACGACAGTCCATACAAATGGTACCTCCGCAAATCAGTTCCCTGTGACAAGATCGGCGTCGATAGGCGACGTATTGTTATTTGAGCTAAGAGACCAGCCGTGGAAAGTACACACGCGCACGCTCACACACACACACACACACGCACGCACGCACGCACGCACGCACGCACGCACGCACGCGCGCGCGCACGACAAACGCGCTCGGCTGACCTAAAAAAATCCTAGCCCAATTTATCATCCGTACATCGGTGACAACTTGGCGAGTTTCGTAATTAAATAAATAGAGATATGCAGCGCAGCGACGCCGACACGCTGGTGGTGGTGGTAGTTGTGCGTTTTAGTACAGCCACCCGTTTTAGTAAGCACTCATAACGCATTACGTGATGCGCGTGCAACACATGCATGTGCAGATCCTACTGCCTTGCCCGCTCTCTCTCGCGCGCCCGCGCGCACACACACACACACACACGCACACACACGCGCGCGATAGGTGTAATAGCACATGATTGAACCCAGTTTCACTTAACCATAGTTTGAAGGTACTCTTTTAGTGAATGAAACAAAACTAGATGGACCCTAATTACATAGAGATAGCAATGCACATAAACGTGCTGTACGCGCATATCACATATAAGCTAGAGCCCCTCTTATATAGATAAAACATCATAATAATCACAATATCCCACTCACGCTAGAATATGCTAGAATTTGGCTCTAGAATATGCTATTAGCTACGCGTACTGCAACGGAATCATAGGTCTATCAACAGATCATAGACCGCAGATCACGGCTAGAACATACAACGCGCGCTCTGAGAGACTGCTGCGGGCCGCCTGCATATAACAATCTGCACATCACCTACTATGACCACAATTCGAAAGAAGTACAAGCTGGTGTTACATCGGTGAGAGCTCAACTCTCCCTCTCTATGTGGCTACGTATAGTTACGAATCACGGGAGAAGACGCGTCTGATAAACGTAGCCTAAAAAAATCAACCTCAGAATTATTAGCCTTGATTTTTTTTCATACCGCCGTTGTTTTCGCTCACCCGTGGCACATCAACTTACGCTCGGCAGGGCACCTATCGGTCACGGTCAACAGCAAGGTCGCGGTGCTGCCACCTACTTAAAGGAACGCCACCGTCAGGCAGGTAGCAGATATCTGATAAGCATTCCGTCCTGCCGCAATGCATGTAAAACTCGGGGGGAAGAAATCAGTGGGTTGTCTTGCCCTAAATCGGGAATCGGCCTCTAGAGAAGAGGCGCACAAGTGTTTTGTATGCCAGTGGCGTTATCATCACACACGTATGTCGTTGATTAAGACCAAGAAAACTCCAATAATGCAGTTCAGGTGCAAGTGACATTACCAGCACGCACACATGCACGCACGCACACATGCAAACACGCGCGCGCACACACACACGCACACACTCCTAATGTACGCAGCCATACTTTTGGAAAGCTAATACGGAAGGCAAACACTCTACACGTACGTTCTAAAATAGTTCTCTGCACACGTTTACGGCGTAAATATAGCCGAAATACTGTTCATTTCATACGAAAAACATTAAAGTAACTGTTAAAACTAAAATAACTCATGTTAAAATGCGGGGGGGGGGTACGCGCCACTTGATGTACAACGTCATAACAAGTTCACAACAAAATGGTGCGCGCGGCGACAGAGCACTCACGCCTGCCCTCATTGTGTTACCATGGTAATCTACCTTTAGCAATGAACCGCTGCGTTTCCATGGTTCAACATAGTCACTTTTTAATTCCAAGAACAGAATCTACAACAATCTTTCTCACTAACGGTACCGATTACGCATATAAACAAAAATAGATTTTGCTCTCATACCCGTCCTCACTACATAGTAAGTACTGACAGGCTGTACAGATTCCATCATTTTTTGGTCGTGGTGCTAGCGCGTGGCTGCCCCTTCGCGGTTACTATGACGTAGTTGCAGTTTATCTGGACAAGAACACACAAGTACAAAGCAGGAACCCTACTGGCCTGCATCATTCTAACATGCTCCGACGTTTACCTGTAATATTACGAGAACAGGTTAACTTGAGCTTCACGTCCAAACACATAGATTCCAGGAGCTCGTTGTCAGAAACAAAATTAGTCTTAACATTAACTTTTTCTCGTAGACCGTCGACAGAAACGATGCGAAGTTACCTGAATGAAAAATCGTAGCAGATTTCCTGATAACAATACGAAACAAAGCGCTGTCGACGGTCTACGAGAAAATGTTATTGTTAAGACTAATGTTAAGACTAATTTTGTTTCAGACAACGGGCTCCAGGCAACTTATCGATGGTATGTTTTGTCCCGACAAGCTTACCGAGTCGAAAATCATGACACACACACACACACACACACACACACACACACACACACACACACACACACACACACACACACACATCATGCACTCATACGGAATGCACGCACTCACGCACATACACGAAAGAACGCACGCACACACATGCAAGAGCGCACGCACACACACGCGCGCGCACACACAACACGCACGTAACCATGAGCCCCTCTACACCTACTATCACCTGTATTCGATCACCTTATTTTGTTTAGACTGGCACTGACAGCGATCGCTGCCCCATTCCTCCGTGCACACACCCGCGAAGCACGTAGCGGCATTGATTACTGCGCAAACGTCTATAAAACTCTTATCTCTTATCACAGATCACTTTTCATTCCGTGGACTAAAGTGCACGCGCTACACTCCTCACTCTGCGCTAGCGTTCTCACCACGCGAGCGCAGCTATAGGCCTACCCAGCGATGCCAGGTCATTCCCATAAACACGACCTGCGTAGGTAGAAAACGTATACACTAGTACATAAGACACGAACAAGTCGCCGAGGTGCTGGGTGCCTCCGCTATTAGGTAGTGAGTGAGTGATCAGTCAGCCGCGTCAGCTGCGGACACGGGCTCACCGTCTGTTATGATCCGGTACTCTTGGCCTGAACTCATCTTTTTATCACGTTTCGACTTTGAAAATATCTTTGGGATACACATTCAGATAGGCATGTCGATATATTCGATTTTTAGGCATTTCGTCTTCGAAAATATCTTTGGGATCTTATGACAGATCTTATAGATTCAGACAGGCATCTTCGCACGCACGCACGCACGCCGGTGTAGCGAGGTCACATCGTTACGATAGTAGTGCTACAAAGATCCCCTGCATCACTACTAACATGAACATTGCCATTACCATGAACATTCACTTTAAGAATCTCTATTATGTTATAGGTACGTTCACGCTACTACGTATACCTCCTCCCTATACGCAATGACGCGTACAAGTGTGCAGTTGCTATCGTGATGGTGAAATACTCCCAGGAAATCTGCATCGAATTTTCACATCTAGTTCAATAAAACATAGCCTGGCTTTCTAATTGCTCTCCACACTAAGTCTAAACCGCGACCGTGTCACTGAGGGACGTTCCAAAGCATAATATCCCTATAAGGGCAAACATTGGATGGCAATTAGCAACGTGTTTCCTTGATTTGAAGACCTCTAATTAAAGAAAAAGATTTGCTTGCTATACCACTACTTTGGGAATAAGACATTGGTGCTTCATAACCCATAGAAAGGGCCCTATTGAAATTTCAAATATTTAGAGCCACTGACCATTTTTCGACAGAATGCACAAATAAATGACGTCGCAGCAAGCACTATTAATGAACATTGGCACACTCACACGGGCATACGTAAAAGTACGTAGTAACTTATTGTGCAGGCATTAAGTGGGGTATTGGCACACATGCATGCGTGTGCATGGATGCTCACCATTAAAAAGGCACCATCAATGAGTATTAGGTACCCTGCACACGTGCATATATGTAAGATGATGCTTGATGTGTGCATTACATGTTGGGCAGTGACAAGACCTTCGCTATGCTGGGAACAATCCCAATATTAACTCCCTCTTCAATCGATCTGGTAATACACTCAGATAACAAAATTACGCAACCGTAAACACATCTAGCGAAACGAGTTATGTACACTTCGGAGTTGATACTTGAAATAGGTAACAATACCATTGCTGAATACAAGTCTGTGCCATTGGATACAATTTAAACGAATGCCGACTATTACACATAAATCATATAGATGTAAGTAAACAGTCGCAGATGCAACCCTCGAATGTGTTTTCACCATCAGCGTTAGACCCACTAATCGCAGTGTAACCCAAATCCTGTGGCATCTCGACACACTGCCACGAGCAACCTATCTCCCAGCCTTATCACACACGCGCTTCACCCACGGGTCATCTAGGAACAACGTCGGTTTTGTGGGAAACCGATACAAGAATCACTATGGCAACTTAACTCAGCAGGCAGTCGGAGGCAGCAAAGGTCGCCACGCTCAAGGCCAACGGACAATTGCCGGTAGCAATGGTTGCCATGGTAATCACGGTTGGTCGTAGTTCGGCAGGCAGTCCGCGGCGGCAACGGTCGCCATTTAGATCATGGCCGGAGGCAGCAGCGATCACCGCAGTGACCGTGGAAAGCAACAGCGACCGTGCCAAAGTCGGCGGCGACAACAGTCACCACAGCCAGCGGCAGCAACCGCGATCGCCGTGGCAACCGCGGTCAGTGCGCCGTCGACGGCTTCAGGTCGAAGAGCTCGATGATAAGCGGCTCAACGTCCTTCGGGTTGACGTCGAGGAAGATGCGCACGTGGTTCTCGTTGAGGTCGTGCAGCGCGGTGAGCTTGTCGAGCAGCCGGCGGTAGCAGAGCTGCGCATCGGCACGCGTGTACTTCGTCTCGAGGTAGCGCTGCAGCAGCGCGTAGTAGTAGTCCTGCTCGCAGCGCACGGTCGCGCGGTTGACGAGCTTCGGCCGCGTCGGACAGAAGAGCCGGATCGCCGAGATGATGAGCATGAGCACGACGTCGGCGCGCAGGTGCGGCTCGAACGAGTGGATGTACTTCTTGTGCTCCTCGTACAGGTTGCCCTTCGCCTCCTTGAGCACGTTGAGGCGCAGCGGGTTGTCCGGCAGCGGCCAGCAGTCCTTCTCGTAGTCGTACGCCATCACCGAGCGCAGGATCATCAGCTCAGTGCAGCCGCCCTTGAGCAGCGCCACCTGGTCGTCCTCGCCGAGCGACTTGAAGCAGCCCATCTTCTTCGCCATCTTGATCATGCGCCGCACGGCGCTGTTCGTCAGGTTGATGACGTCGATCAGCGTGTTGCTCTCCACCTTCCAGTCGGAGTCCGGCGGCGCGAGCATGATGCGATTCGCCGCGAGCAGCTCCTCGACCTTCGTCGCGTCGTGCTCGTCGAGCGTTGCCGCGGCGACGCAGCCTCCGCCGCCGACGGGCGAGTGCGGCGGCGGCGGCGGCGAGAGCGCGTGCAGCGTGCCGTAGGTGGCGTCGGCGGCGGGAGCGTGGGGTGACGCGACGGGGGTGGCGGGCGTGCCGATGCTGCCCGCGTCGTCATGCGATGACGTCAGCGAGCCGCCGCTGCTGCTCGTCGTCCGCACGCTGTCGAGGTTCGTGTATGACCCCGTCGGCTCGTACGTTATCTTGTAGTCGCCGGACGCCGTCGCCGGCGACGACACCGCCCCGTCGTAGAACACCCCCTGCTGGCCGTCGCCGCCCGGCTGGTAGCTGGGGTTCGCAGGCTGGTAGTGCGGCCCAGGGTTGGCCGCCGCGTAGCCGTGCAGGTACTCAGTCGGCAGCACGAGCGGCGAGTTGAGCTCGTCGAGGTACGAAGTCGGGCCAGGGGGCGCCACCGCCGGCATGAACGTCTGGATGCCGGGCACGTTTTGCGGCGACGCGGCCGCCCGTCGCCCCCCTCCCGCCGGCGGCGCCGCCGCGCTCCCATGCAGGAGGTACTGCAGCACGTCGGCGCCCCCTAGCGACAGCGGCGACGCGGGAAGGTGCGGCACGGTGCTCGAGATGGTGGCGACGGCGTCGCCGGAGGCGACGCGTTTCCGCCGGTGACGGTTCTCCTCGGACTTCTTGCGCTTGACCTTCTTGTCGTCGTCGGTCATGATCCACTCCTTCTTCATGCCGACGATGAAGCACTTGTCGAGCCGGCATTTCTGGCAGAAGCGGCGCGTCACCAGGTCGACCTTGCAGCTGCCCTGAAACGGGCACTTGAACTTGTCCTGGTGAGAGGAGAGAGATGTGGTGAGCGTCTAACGATAGAATCGTAGGGACTGTGTGAATGTCGGTCTTCGGATGTCGGACAAACGGACATCCTTAAAAAATTATATGTTTGCTGTCCTCCGACCGACCCAGGAAAATAGCTGCGACCCAAGTTTTTTTTGACATTTTGGGTTCCATATTTTTTTTTAAATTTTTTTTTAAATTTACATTTTTCATAGTTAAAGGCATAATAGGCCCATCGATTATGCAATTTTAACGAATGCTAGAGTAACTGCACCTTTGTTAGTTAATAATACATTACCTTATAGCCAAACGCGTATTAGTTTGTCCCAATATTAGCTGCTGTTACTAAGAAATGTCTAATTGAAAATCCGCAGTCCACGAATCAGTTGACTGACTTGTTGATCAGTTTCGAAAACCGCAATAATCGAAGCGGTGTGATACAGATTTATAGTCCACGCGACATTTTCGCACGCATGCAAAACGCGCACGCACGCATGCATTTTCGTTCGGCCGTACGCAATGCTACGATAGTACAGTACCGTAACTGTATATACGTAACAGTAGCTCTGATTGTAATGAACGTGGAATCCACGTACGAATCACGGACCCTCGTGATAATGAAGTAGGCCGTGTTGGGGGCCAACGCTATGGGAGATCGCGGACTAACCACGGCCACAGACAAACATGGAAAGCAGACGGCACTACGCGTATTTACGATATATTGGTCAAACGAATACACCTGTGTCTGAAATTGAAAGACATTGTGGAGTACCGATCATTAGCACCCACGATTATTTACTTGTGGCCTCAATTTACGCAGAATAGCACCAAGAGACATTCTCTGATTCTACTAGCTCATTAGTCGTTAAGTATTATATGCCATCCCGGACAACAATTCTTGCTAAACACACTGAATGACATCTGCGTGCTAACGAATCTCGAGGGCTATTGGTGACTGGCAACCCAATTTAGCGTTGGCGCCAGATTACCAGATTACGGATTCCACCAATCAAGCACACTCCAGTCAGTAAGCACACGTAACTTGACCCAAACAATACGACGTCGACTATAAACAAGTATTACACTATAATAACTTACTAACAGAAGCGTAGCCAGTCGTACATGTAGCATCACTCCAAGCTTCATATACTCCAAATTGGGAACCTATCTACCAGACTTTACCGAATGAACCAACAAAGCATGCGAGGTGACAACCATAAAAGACTATAAACACCTATCAATGCCATCCACAACACAAAATCACTACCATACCTACCCCACTAAAAAAACCCAAAACGCTTAGGGAGACAGCAAAGCAGACAATATCAGAGAACCTCATCTTTACAGCCGCATGGCCTCCATCATATCAAGTAATTACAATCAATATAACTATATGTATATATACCAACATAACATAACATACAACAACAGCCATACACCCTAATAATATATTAACTAACCCCACATATACAGACGTCGACTGACCAGCCAAGCAACTATACTCCGCATAAGACACATCAGAAACATTCAACCATTCTCATACCTGTACTTTACCTACACATATTGATCCTCAGCGCAATGCCAAAAAAATCCACATCATCCACCCTAGCGCGGGGAACACCTCTCAAAACTCATCACACTCACCAGCCCTTGACCAGTACCTCGATCCCACCCCTCTTCTATTATGTAGTTATAGCTTCGAACTCAGACGTGCGTTTTTTTTTTTTCCCCAAAAAAAAAGTCAATAAAACCCAACTAAGCGACTATACGTCTTACAGCCGATATAAACAATAGCCACTTGCTCTCGTTTGCGGGTTCCGCCGGATTTGCAACCTCGAACAAGCTCCAGAACATGAGGGTATACCCGACGCACGCACTCGCTGTATGGTACATAAATAACACCAAAGGCCGACCGGCTACAAGCTAACATAGTAACTCAGTCCGTCGAATTCAACGTACGCTACCCTAAACGTCATGTAGGAAG